CATCCATAGAGCTTTAATTCTTCAACACTACTTTGCTCAATTGTGTGAGCTTTCATTCTTGTGTTGTAAACTCAATCTCATTTGAGTGTTGTTCATAAGACTTGTGTGACTCAAGTCTTGTTGTTGTAAGAAAGTGAGGCTTGTGTGATTCAAGTTCTCAAGTTGTACCGGTTTTTCAAGCACCCGTTGAAGCTTGAAGATTAGTAGGACTTTCGAGAGAGTCTCTCGGAGGACTCGACTAGCCACGAGGTGGTGAACCAGTATAAATCCCGGTGTTCTTCTTTCCCCTTACTCTCTTTACTTATTCCTGCGATATTTTATTTCACACACGCGAAAAACGCACATTCTTGAAAACAACTCTATTCACCCCCCTCTAGAGTTGCACATTTGTCTAACAGTAGAGAATTAATATGCCCAAGCAAAAGACCAAACCCTTGCTTTAAAAAAGTATTCAAAATGTAAACTTTAAACTTTTATAATTGAGCCTAGTTTACTTCCTGTCCTTTTACATATGTGTAGGTAGTTACTATGCAATTTTGATAGCCATGAGTGGAAAAATTAATGGGCACACAAAAGTCAAACGAATAAAAACCTAAAGAGTCAGCTAATAATTGCCAAATAAGCCCAATATTGACATGAATCCTATAGTTGAATGCACTATGAAAACAAAAGATAGAGAGTGAGTGCAAATGCACTATGCAATAAACGATGGAACCGTGTGAATGATAGGTTTCTGATGTACCTTATTTGCAAAAATGCTGAGAGTTTCATTGCTTCCCTCGTAAAAGCTTCTCATCATAATTGTAGATGCCCCTATGGATATGGCTTTCACAAAGTCACCAGAGATCGTTGTTCAAGCATCCATCCCGCTATGACTGAATTCTTCATGAGCATCTGATGACACTTATATACAACTTTAGACTAAAAGCCATTGATAAAATTGCCATTAGAAATGAAGAAATTGAAAATTTCCATTAATAAAACAGAGGAGTTATGTCATTCATATTAAGCAAAACACCAATATATAAGAAAAACACAACCACATTAAGACTAACAAAGGTATTGTGCCTCATACCAAGAGGCCATGGTATCTCAAAAATGCTAATAGTCAACAGGGAAATTTGATTAAAAAAAGCATCTAATATGTAGAAGTTTTTACTTTTTAATCCATAGGGTAAAGCATAAGTATTATTGTACCACTAAGTGACGGGTGGTTTTCCCTCAATTACGCTCATAACAATCTGGAGTAAGCATACCTGGAAAAGAATTCCCGAATGGTAAAACTTGAGGCAAGGTAAAAAGAATCCATTCCAAACTGGAACCAGTACCATTGACCACAAAGTGCTCGCTACCAACAATCAGAAACTGAAATATAAAAATGTGATAAAATAAATAGATTTAATTGAAATTTGAAATAGAATTTCAAAAATATGACACTTTCAAATTTAGAAAATTTAACTCACCCCATCAGTTCAGGTTCAATAAGACAAAATAGGAAATGCACAACTCATAAATTAGGCAAAAATGGGGTGTAATCTTGATTCTTCCATTTTAAATTCAGATAATTAGGCAAACAATAGATAGAAAAAACCAGTGATATGTTGGAAGTCTTCAAAGAGAAAGATAATACCTGAGGGCTGAGATGGAGTTGTAGAGAGGTAGAGTCTGGGACCCTAATCGTTGGGTTTTTTCTTCGATCGGGGAGGTAGAGATGGAACCAGACGAAGGCATCTTCAATCGGAGACGGACGACTTCAATCCAAGAGAGGGACACACAACGGGCTGATTTCTGAAACGAAGGACAGTAAGCAGGACCAATTTCTCAGACGGAAGTAACCGGCGAGGGAGGATGAAGGAAGAAGAAAGGTCCGGACACCCCAGGCCTCCGTATACACCGTCCAAATGGAAGGGAGACGGATCTGTGGTGGCAGAGAGTAAGCCTAGTCATAAAAAATCATCTGTGTCAGCTGCTTCGTCATCGTCCAAGTGTCAACACCACATGCAAAAAACCCTACTTTATATATATACTAGTATTTCTACCCGTGCGATGCACAGGGTCGACGAAATTTTTGTCAATTCTGAATTTTTTTTAATGCAATATATTTTCCAGATCAAGTAAATATATTTCTAACACGATTTTTTATCATTCGACAAAAACACCAAGGTAGAATAAATAATATTTGAGGAATTAAAAATGTACTCAAAAATATCTTTTTTTATTCCAAACATGTTGGCATGAAGAATAAGAAATTAAGTACTACTTTTCACCTCATGGAATAAAGGATAAGACAAATTCATTTACCATTCAACAACCTCGAGCACGGGTGCCAAGTTCATGTATTGTGGAGATATTATAATTTTTTGAAGCTTTATAATTTGATTATTTCTTCATAGTTCATGCCATAACAAAGTTTCCCGAAATTCACACATAAATGCAAGATTCCCAAAATAGATTGTCTCTGAAAGAAAAATAAAATATGATGTAGGTAGTCTTATATATATATATGTGTGTGTGTGTGTGTGTATACATATATAGCATTCTACGCAACTTACATGTTGCATATATAATCTAAACATATTTTTAATTTTTATTTCTCTAAATGCAGGATCATCTAAAATTGATTCCACTAATGTATCTTAAGCATATGAACCTTCTACCTCGACATTTAAATTTAAAATATATCGAGTGTGTCCACCATATTTATTTTCTTACATTGTTTATAATATTTTATACAAAAAGACAATAGTTGTATTATCATATTCAAAGAAATTAGTAGAATGGGTTTAAACATAGATCAATTCTCTTCTGTTTCTTATGCACTTAAAAACGCGATGAAGCGTGTGTATAATTGTTTCGTGGTTGGAAAATAATAGATGATTTGTTGGGAAATATGTACTGGAACGTGTTTGCAAAGTACATTCTTTCTCATGTCTTTCTGTATTTGTAATAAGCATCATAGAATAAATATTATAATTTTTTATCTAAAAACTTTAAATATATTTTTTTATTATCCACTAATATTTATTACATTGATGTCGATGGTTCAATGAATAAATAAGAAAGAATATTACTTAGTTATATTATTTTGACATAGATGTCAAAATAATTAGCACATTTTATATTTTTTAATAATTAAATATAAAAGTAATTACATTTTAATATTATACCATAAATATTTTGATTAGGAACACCAATTAATATTTAATTTCTTACACATAAATACTCACTTATCAAGTCTTGATCATTTTACAAAGTTATAAATGAAAATGATAATTTTTCTTACATGTAAATTTTTACAAAGCTATACATGGAAAACAATAATTTTAAAATGGAAAATACTAATTTTAAAATGGAACATACTTTTTATTTGATTTAGAATTTTTTATATATACGGAATAAAATTAATGCTCTATTAAATAAGCGTGCCCATAAACATCCATTTCCTTTTATATATTTGTTTTTTTAAATAATTAGAAAATCTCTCCAATTAGTATTAATTCAAAGCAAAAAAATCAAATTTAATTTCGTTTATTCCTACCAATCTATCTGTTCTTAAAGTATACTTATTTGTTTTGATTATAGTTTTTGATAGGTGTTTTTTTTAAATTTCAAAATATACTATTTAATTTAGATATTTTCCAATTATGAATGAAAATATAAAAGTTTTAAACGCGATTATATTGAGAAATTTGTGTGTAACAAATATGAAATTTAATTTCCGCATAATAAGTTTTTTTGTTAACTATTTTTTAAACATTACTTGCTAACATGGCATGCTGATATGTTAAAAAAGTTGTCTAATAAGCACGCCACATGTCACAATTCTAGAAGCTCAACCCATTTGAAATATTGTGGAAGTCGATTTTGATGACGTGGCTGATGAAGTGTCAAAAAAAGTTCCAGTCAGCACGCCAAATGTCACAATTCTGAGAGTTCAACTCTCAAATATTATATATAAAGGATATATATATATATATATATATATATATATATATATATATATATATATATATATATATATATATATATATATAATATATATATATATAAAAACTTTCTCGATGCTTCCGTCTCCAACCGGAGAGGTGGTTTCCGGCGGATCCATCGGCGGATCCACCTCCTACGCTGCCGCCGTCAAGAATTCTTCCTCAACCCACGCTCCGCTGCAACAATCTCAATCTTCAGTGATTCAACCGAAGCAGATAACTAGATTTAAGGGATTGCCCTCAATCACATTCACGCAGGAAGAGGTTGACCTCCTATCCTCCAAGTTTCAATTCGCGCTTGTGGGAGTATTCAATGATGGAAGACCATCTTTCCTCACAGTTAAAGCTACCCTGGAATCAATTGGATTCGAAGATCAATTTCAGGTGGGATTCCTTGATGAAAGATGCGTGCTCATTAACTTTGCCAAAGAAAGGGATTATAATCGACTTTTCATGAGAAGGTATTGGAATATAAAGGGTTTTGTGATGAAGATCTTTAAATGGACTCATGATTTTGATCCATCTAATCTCCCCCCTATTGTGCCAACCTGGATTTCACTCCCTGGTTTGCCAATCCATTTGCATCATAAATCAGCTCTATTCTCAATTGCAAAAATGATAGGTATACCTATGACCATAGACACTGCAACAGCTGCCTTCAATAGGCCCTCACTGGCCCGGGTTTGTGTAGAACTTGATCTGTCCAAAGAGAATCCAAGAAAGATCCACATTCTGGATGGAGACAGGCATGTATTCCAGGAGGTTATTTATGAAGATCTTAAGGCATTTTGCTCCAAGTGCAAGAAAACAGGTCACTCCCTGAGCGAATGTAAGGTTTCATTGAACAAAAAAGTGACAGGAAAGAACACTTGGGAGAGGACAGCTGCTAATCACAAAGAGAATGCCAAGGAGGAATGGCAGGTTGTGAAGAGAAAAGGAACTAAATTGGGCACTAGTGG